GTGTACAAATGTCTCTCGCGACAATCAGGTTTGGCAGACAGATAGTCATATTGTTTCTGTTTGAGATAACTAGTTTTGACTAAATCGGCAAGAATATTATTAATCATGCTAGCAGTTTCTTTGAAAATTGGTTTCGGTAAAATGGCATAATGTTTAGGATTATTCAGTTGATTCTCTGCTTCTGAAACGTAATCCTCCCTATTCAGAATGACACAACATGAACCTTTGTCACTCTTTTTAATAACAATGCTATCGTCTTTCTTAAGTAAGTTTAACGCTTCACGTTCCACTCGTGTGAGATTCGGCTTTTCGTGTGTTATGGAAAGGTTCACTGTTTGGCTATTCATACTAGCAAATGCTTTCAATATTTCAGGATGGATGGCGGCCTGAGGGGGTGTCCACGTAGATTTAGGAATAAACATTGTTCTAGCACCACGTGGGGGGTGGTTTCGAAAAAAATATGTGCAGCTAAGATTTCGTTGAAATCGTTCAATGGATGGTCGGAGATAATTCAAGTTAGCTATCTTTGGTGTGGGAATAAACTTAAGTCCACGGTCTAAGATTGAATGCTGAAGGGGTGTGAGAATTTTGCGGCTCAAGTTAACTACAGTTTGGCCTAGCGGTGGCCTCTCAGTATTTTTATCCCCAGTAATTAGTTTAAAGACTTACTCGATGCTTGAAGCTGGTGTATCCAAAACAAATAAATGCTGTTTGCTGTTTCTGGAGACCAATGAAGATTATCAACTGTTTCGAATTCACTGTTGCAAATAATAGCAGTACAGATAGCTTGTGTGGATTTGGAGTGGGTATGTTTTCAGAATAATGTTCATGACTTGTCTTTTTTGCATATTTATCGTATTCTGAATCAGAAAAAAAACACGGTTCCCAAGCAAAATTCCCGGTGCTTAATTTGCGTAAAGGCTGCCACAATACCTATTTTTTAAGTCTTTTTGAAACTATATCCTTTAATATCCCAGTGTCAAAAACAGCTAAAACTTTCAGAAAACTGACAGAAAAACTTTCTTAATATACTTTCTTAAAGTCAGAAAACGACACTTAGGCATTTATAGAGTAATTAGGTATAATTGTTTGTAATCACCTAAGGATGAACCCTATTGAAAATTAGAACAATATTCAGTATGAGTTATTGCTCTTGTTCTTGAAATGCTTGTAAAAACGCAATTCTTGACGGATTCTGATGAAACTTTGCTATCACCCAAGGATGAATCCTATTAAAAATCAGAACAATTCAACCAGAATTTCCTGATTCCATTGTGGCTGCTTGCATTTTCCCAATATTGATATAGATATATAAAAAGTGATAAAAGTTTGACAGAAATTTACAGCAGACGATTTAAACAGTAGGAAAGAAAAACATCATGCCAAACAAGAATATTTTATTGTCTAGTCTTCGCGTGTTTTATTAAGACAAATTAGCTTTTTAAAACTATTCTGAGAACAAAAATAACTTAGCATTCTAAAGCAAATGTGCTCGCTAACAAGTTTCATAATGCCCATTTATCAAACTGAAGAAAAACCTTGACCACATTATGACTATTGTACATACAATTGTGTTTTGAAAAGAAAATATTTTTCGATTCCTGTTCCTCACTCCATATTTCATTTTATTATTATTGAATGTTTATTACAATAATAAAATATTTTCACTGTTAAAATAGTGCTCAGTACATCAATTTTAGAGCGAAATAGAAATAATAAAATAGAAGTTGAATCATGTTGTTCATCGGAGTTTCACGCCACGTTTATTATTTAAAGAAAACTCTAAAAATGAAAAATGTAAAGAAATTTAACTTCAGTTCACGATTGTTTCAGTATACATTAATTCCCGGGTTGGCTTTAATTAATCGAAATTAAACAGTATGAATTAGTAAAAATACTCTAGTATTCTGTTTGAAGCTTGTTTTGGTTTTGAAAAGCTTCGGTGATTAACAAACAAAAGGAAGCTTGTTAGACATAGTAACATACGTCCACGAATAAAAGAAGCAATCAATACATCTCAACAATCGGAATATCCATAAAATTCCAACACGTCCAACTCGACATCCTTCATTTTCATACTATGTTTGCTCGAATAAAACTAATATTTATGCACGGATAGGTGCGCCGGCAATTTATACCTCAATATTTTGCGCAAAAATTGTATAAAAAGAGGTGTAAAACATTCCGAGAGTACAGTAGGAAAACTTCTACTCTTTCAAGTGATAAGACTGGTATATCAGTATCAACACGATATTGTTTACGTGTCACAAATCCATCATCTAAATGGTGTCAACTCCGCAGGTTCAAGAATAAGCCGCTTTTTAGTGAACAGAATATCTGTCCGTGCCATGCATTGAAATTTTCCCGAAAAGCTGATTCCGTTTCAGAAACTGTTGAGTCTTCTTTGTGACTTTGTGACTGAACCTTAAACTTCCACATATTTCATTTTTCCCTCCGTTCTAAGTCAGGTCGTAAACCTCGACATTCCAAATTACCAATTGTTAAATTCAATTCCTTATCTAAAAAATAAATGATGTTTTATGGATTGTGATTCGTTTACTTTTAACAATTATCGACTTTGATCTGTAATAGATTCAGTAAGAAAACTGCAGACCAATTCTTAAGAATTCATGCTATATTGAAGGTATGGTGAGAAATCTAAACAAAACAATAAAAGACTTAGGTGGTAGTACGGTGGTGAGTTTGAAGAAATAAATATCGGGTAATATAAAAAGAAAACACTAGACTTTTTACCAGCTGGTCCTTGGCGAAAACTCTTGGCATTGGTCTTTAGCAGATTCTCCTTACCCAATTACAAGATGGGTCAACTGGAATTATGATTGAATTTTCAAACGCCGACCAAGATTAGAACCCAAGACCTCCATAAGTTGGACATAGTCAACCTTATGACGTTATGCAAAGGACCATCGCTCCAACTTAGTTTGCTACATTAATTTACTTACCTAAGCGTTTATTAGTTATAAACGTTGTTAACGGTAAATCGCTCCTATTCGAAATATAACCTTCGTCCAGTCTCCACTCGTTATCGGTCACGTCACAATTGCATAAATTATCACCAGCGCATCCACTCGTCTCATTACATCGACAATTATTTTGCCCTCTCGCTCCACCAGGAAAATAATCAAGAGCTTCACCATTTGATTTCAGAAATCTAGATGTAAATTCGTTTACCAAATCATGTATAGGTGAATTTAAGCACCTATAAGTAACATACTGGTGGCAGAAAGTGGATACTTGTATCAACTTTTTTATTCTAAATATGGATTGTTCATAACTTAACTTTATACTGATGGTACCGTTTATATCCGATTCTGTTGAAGCATTAATGTATATTTCAGATAGGTTAATAGCTGAAATAGAGAAATATTCGTATAAGTGCATTATCAGGAACATACAAATTTTCATCCAAAGCTCCAGTTCCTATCAAGTTCATACATAAATGTTTTGACATATTGGTATCGGTAATATCTGCATATGGGAATGTTAAAGTGATACTACGTCTTAGAATGAACATAAAATTTAAGTTCTCAAGAATGGTCAATATGAGTATATATATTCATCAGTGAACTTACCTGGTGTCATAAAGTTACAACAGAATCTCTGTAAATTCTGGAAAATTGGAAAATTCATACCACTAAGTAATTATTGAAAAACGCAAAAATTTGATATTAAGCGTTTTTCAATAGTTAATTGTATATTTATGGCTAATTACTTTTTTAATTAACTAATTAATTTTTTTGGATTATATAAAGATCCTGTTGTGTTATTTATGACAACAGGTATATCTATTGGCTCTTATTCACCAAGTTTAAATTCTTAAATTTCATGTTAATTCTAAGACGTAGTATCAATTTAATGAATGAAATTGACATTTTAAAGCGCCGAGTGCTCTGTAGTTTGACCATTATTGTTTAAATGAATCTAAAATGCATTCCGAAGTAATCCCCCCCACCTTGTGCATCTGATTGGATTGATGAAGACAGGCAACGCCATGTCGAAAAGTGTTAATAGACCAAGAACGGAGCTGAGATCCAAGTACATGTCTTAATATTTTCGTCCGAGATATTCGTCTGATATACATAGTATACAAAGTTTTATACTCACGAATCACAGTCCATGCAGAACCTTTATCATCTTTACATTGGACAGTAAATGCGTCTCTCGACGGATATCCTTGTGGGTCGATCTTTAATGTTGGAATAACGGATAGTTGACGCATTTTACCATGAGTACAAGATCGTGCTAAAATAGAAAATAAATTACAATTCCAATAAAATATATGCTGATAATTCAAATAGTTTTTTTTTTCTCTTTTTGCCGACTAATAAATATTATTTGAATAGGTCAAAGAATAGAAAACATACATCCGCCCCTTTCCTTTTCGCTTCTTACTCTCATCTCTCAACCGCATATTTAAAAACAAATCGAATTTAGTCAAATTACTGGCACTTATGTTTATTAGATGAGATATTTTGCGCCATTTTTTTGGTCGAGGCGAATGGGGATTAGTGTTGAATATATGTATATAAATAGTCTTTAGAAGTACTAGAAATGTACAAAATCCTTCAAATACTATCCAAAACTAGGAATTTATTTTCCTATTTCTATAGTTGTCTTTTATATAGAATGACAGTGTATCAAGAAAAAAAACTTGTCTTATTCATTTTCAGACGCGGACAATTCTGGACACGTGTGGATTTTAAGGCTCAAATTTCGACAGTAAGCTGTGAACACTGTTACTGATTAGCTAAGCTACGAAAAATACCCGTTTTTTAGATTGGAAAAAAAAGCTCATCTGCTCCTTTTAAGAAATGATTTAGTAGTAAAAAGTCTTACTCGTTTTTCACAGAGAAAAATGTCAATTTAATAATCGTCATGAAACTTTCCAAAATATGATTTTCCAAATTCCTTAACTATGGTGCGCACCACCACTTAAATACTAAGAAATTTTAAATGTGCCAGAACACGAAAGTTTATTTCACCCAAAGGTGCTCTTACCATACATGCAACCATAACTCAAATTACTCCAATAGGCATTAGAGAGGCATTTTTTATACGCCGTACCAATCAATGATAATTCTCGTTTACATGTGAAAGTCAGATTAGTTCCAATGATAACCGCAGAAGAATTGACTGTATAACGTTTGTATTGTCTTACTGGTGTACAAACTGAAAATAAAGAACAATTTTTCTCAACTATGTTCAATAACAATAGATTGAAACACAAAAAAAAAACCAAAAAACACGGACACAACATATAATTTAATCAAAAGTGAAAAACCATCTCAGAATTTAATGCGTTTCATTCTCATTTCTCTCTTCATGAAGTAATACACATGGATGTACATAAGGCTTTTTCCGAAAAACCTTTCAACTGTATATATTACCAGAGCATGAAACGTACATTAAAAGCTCATTGTGGACACAGAGCTAGAATTGTTACTTACAAAGTATACGTGAAGAAACAAAGAGATAAAATTCACAATAAGAATGACGTTATTAAAAGCAACTTACTCGTATAACATGTGTAATGCGTAATAGGAGTCCAAGTGCCATCTGCTTTGCAGGTTGTAAAAGGAGAACCCACTTCTCTATATTTACATGTTACAGCAACTCTGGCGCCAACTGCACGTTGTCTTTCAAACACTGTCCTATTTAATGGCAGAGCTGGGATATTCGGACATTCTACATCAAAAAGGAAGGTAACACTATAATTAATAGGATGAAAATGAATAATGTATTACAGAATATCAAAATATTTTCACCATTAAAGTAGTGCTGAATACATGAATAATTGCAGAGCGATATGTATTTTAACAGAAATAAACACAGAAATATTTATAAATCGCTCTACAATTTATGTACCGTGTATTTTATGAAACAGTGAAACTATTTTGTTATTATAATGTATTACAGAAAATAATATTTATAACGAATTGTATTTAATAAAAATAAAACCGGATTTTATACTTTCAACATTTTGATGTACATTTATTACATTTACATTTTACCCACAGACAACGAAATCTGACGATCCTAGCTTAGGGGTCTGAATGATTTTTTGTTTTAATTGTATTGATATTTTCTTGGTCTTAGCTGAATCGTTTTACAATGAAAGCATACCAGTTAAAACACATGTATGATTTCCACTGTTTGATATTATACATTTCTGACCATCAGGGCATGTACCATTCCCACAGCTTCCTGATACCTGAAACAGAACATTTGAAGACTAATACGAAACCACTTTATATGATGCCGATATGATATACATACACGAAAATATAAGTAAAAACCTACGTGTTACAGATGGGTTTCCCTTATTTTTGCTAAACGCACGAGCTCTAATCGCGCGACGTTTTGCAATGCAAAATCAACCAATCGACGACGGTACACCATTAATAGTCTCATTACGTCAGCCACAATATCTCCAGCATGTCGCCGTTACGTCGCCGTTAAAACGAAATTGAATTTTGTTCCGCTCTTGACCGTTTTTGTGAGATAGTGAGAAGGCTTGTGATGCCTTGCGATCGTCGCAGATACCATAACATTGCGAAGCATGGATATTGTTAACTGAGTGGGATTGAGGTTTAGGCTAACGTAATCATTTCAGGGGAGATAAGGCATATTTAGATAACTATTTTTCGAAACCATGACCATTCTATGATCAAATTCTTAGGTGGAATGTAGGCAATTATATAGTGGGTACTGGTAATTATATAGTAAGTACTGGTAAAAATGAATATTTCCAAACCAACAATATGTAAAAGATAAGATAGCTTACCAGGCAAAGTATCACTATCAGCTGTCAGATTTGATAACAAAATATTTAGCGGCTCATTAGTGAATCTTATTAATCTAAAAAGCATCTATAACAATGTCTCATCGCTGTACACACAAGGGCAATAACTCTGAAACGGTTTATCCAATTATTACCATTTTCTAACTTGACCGAGATTGCATTAATAAATACATGCATCTTGTTTCATCAAGATTGGATAGAACTGTAGTCTCTATCGTGCTAGCAGGCCAAATTTATCAAGTTTTTACTAAGTCAAGGGTAATGTCTCCGAAGCCCTTAATTCGATTGTTACCAATTAAGAATCTCATCAACATATACATGCATAGCTAGTTTCATCTAGGATGGATAAAAACTGTAGTCTCTATCGTGCCTACAATCGAAATTTGACGCGTTTTTACTAAATCAAGGGCAATAACTCCGAAACCATTCATCGGATTATTATCAATTTCAAATTTGACTGAGATCTCACCAATACATACGTGCATACCAAGTTCTATGCAGATCGAATAAAAACTGCAGTCTCTATCTTGCCTACAAGGCAAATTTATCTTGTTTTTTTTAAGTCAAGGGTAATAACTCCAAAACCATTCATCTGATTATTACCAATTTCAAACTCGACTGAGATCTCATCATCATATACATGCATACCTAGTTTCATCTAGGTTGGATAAAAACTGTAGTCTCTATCGTGCCTACAATCGAAATTTGACGCGTCAATAACTCTGAAACCATTCATCCGATTATTACGAATTTCGAACTTGACTGAGATCTCATCAATATATACATGCATATCTAGTTTCATCAAGATCAGATAAACACTGTAGTCTCTATTGTGTCTACAAGCCAAATTTGACGCGTTTTTCAGTCAAGGGCAACAACTCTGAAACCTCCGATTATTACTTATTTCGAATTGACCGAGATCTCATCAATATATACATGCATACCAAGTTTCATCAAGATTGGATAAAAACTGTAGCCTCTATCTACAAGAAATGTGAACGGGCGGACCGACGGACAGGGGCGACGGCAGTATACGTCCACATTTTCATGTATAAAAATGCTCAATGATTAGAAACGATATTTACCTTCCCGAAAATATCTTCTGTTGAATTTGATTTAAAGCTGAAAATTGAACCCTTTTTATAAATTAACTGGTTTTCAAGGATAACTCTGTCATGTAATGAACATTTAAGTTTTTCATGTTGTAATGCTTTGCACAGCGTTCTGTCCAAACACTCTTTAGAACACATTAATACACCGATATAATTCAAAATGAGAAATGGAACTCCGTTGATTGTTTTATCCACATAAAAATCAGGCGAAACATAAGCTATAGTTAAAGTTTCATTAATAATTGACCGTGACATATGAAGATATAACAGCACGAACAATAAAAACGAGAATATGGTGATATAATAAGGCATCTTTTTTTTTAACTAATCATAAAATGTATGGCTCGAGTCTTAAATGATATGTTTTCCATCAAACTGCTCAAACTTAAAGCAAACAATAGTAGTCTACTAGTATTTGTAATGAACACAAATACAAAGTGAGTTAAAATTTAATTTGATATGCCAGACTTCATTCTCTTTATGAGATTGTTTTGTTTGTAGTTCATGTTCTAATATACACCCACGTTTAGAGAGTTGAAGAAATTGACATGATTTGTATTGATGAGATTTTAACAGAATTGAACGGTTTTAGATTTCGGACATGGAAACTTGGTGTGGTGATGTTTTTTTTGTGATCATTATGAGATTTCAGCATGTACTAGGTATCGTCCACGACTTGGCCACAATAAGCCAAAGTACATGAATGCTGCAGCTATGGATGAACATTTGTATGATTGTAAATATTGATGAGATTTAGTGGTTATGCACGTTCCTTAAACAACGGAAGAATGTCTAATCTATCCGTGGCTCTCGTGATCCCATATCCTCGTCATTAATTTTGATTGGTAGAGAGTTTACTTAAGGAATGAATGTGGATCTTGTTATCGTTATGGGGAAATAAACGCTGGTTTATCATGTGACAAGACAAATGACCCGACGAAGCCAACAGACCCGGCGAAGCCTTAGGCCGTGGTCACACATACGTATGTCAGAATTGTGTACGTCTTTTTACGATTCGCGAATAGAGGTGGTCACACATTCGTACGTTTCCATACGCACATTCTGTACGTCAGTCCGTATGTCAAAAGCGAGTATAAAGCCTTTATTGCTTTGTTTTAGATAACCAGGTGCATAACAACCACAAGACATTGATTTCATTTTCTTCACACAAACACCTTTCGATCGATACCAAAAACAACTAGTCAGTGAAAGAAGATACTAAAAACACATCAATGCAACAGCCCCATGACAGACCATAACAACGTAGATTATCGAACGCAGCTTTCCAAATCGTGCATGCATAAAAACGTGCTAAACATTTGCGACAGAGCGACTGGCGCCAAACTGCATCACAGAAGTTCACCCGTTGGTGGTGGAGGGGTGGCATTTGTGGCCAGATGACAACACGGCTGGTTATCATCCGAGGAAATCTGAATGCTCAGCGATATATTGATGAAGAAACCTGTTGTAGTTCCTTTTATTCAATAACTTCCAAGAGGATTACTTTTACGACAAGACAATGTAAGCCTCATACTGCCCGAATTGTTCAAGACTATCTGAACAATACCAACGTCGAAGTATTGCCTTGGCCACCTTGTTCTCCAGATATGAACCCCATTGAACATCTCTGCGATCATCTTGATCGTCAACTGAGACAACATGTACCGCCTATAAAAGGTCGGGCTAATTCAGAAGGCCTACGTGAGACATTTGCAGCTATTGAGATTGATGTGTTCCACCGTTTTGAAGAATTTGTGTGTCTGTGTAGAAAGTGAGATTAGCTGGCAGCTGCACTGCATCAATCAAGGTGGTTAATAATGACAATTGCTTCTTTAATTAAACTAAACAAACAAAAAATATACAAACAATTATCCCCAATGGCAATAACCTACCTCTTGGTGTGAAAAAAATATAATAAAACAAGTTAATATGAACTTTGATTCACGATATATTCATCGTGTAAGGGATGAATAATTTTATTAATACATGTACTTCTCTTATATTCTTCTTCTTTTATAAAACAAATTGTCTTTTTTTCTTTATGTATTTCCGACTCGAACTAGCTGTGAAAGATATACAACTGCAAATTGAAGTAATGTTGCAGGGAACAGCTAAATTATAAGATGTTAACCTTCTCGCTAATCCAAGTGCCAAGGGAACACGTTGGTGGGTGGTTTGCCCATCAGGAACTAGCTGTTGGAGAGGAACTTACGCGCAACAGCTCCATGAGTGTCAGACCGACACAGAAACCAGAGCCAAGGTCTTTGGACTTCATGGCAAACTCTTAAATCCGGACATTGTTACTCTTATGCTTGTTGTGTTAGAAATACTGTTCTTCTCAGTTTCTTGTTTAGGATGTGTTGTTCTCCAGTCGAGATTGTCTGCATAGATACAGTTATAAATACAATCAGAAAGGCTCAGAGCAAAAACTCAGCAACTTTCAATTGTGAAAACCAACCCTGAAGGTAGAACTGTTAAAATGTTCTGGCCCAAAATTTATGATTAAAAGAACACATTGAAACCAGTACCGGTACTTTAGTTGTTGTTTTTTATTATTGTCTCGGCATTACAAAATAATAATAGTAAAAGAAGAGAGCTTGCCAGGCAAGGTAACATACGCCCACTACCAGTTGTCAGAAATGATAACAAAATCTTAAGTGGCTTAATAATGAATTTTCAAATAATCTTAAAATCATCTATAAGTCAAGACAAAAACCTGAAACAGTTCATCAAATTATCATCAAGTTCAAACATGAACAATGTCTCATCGCTGTACACACAAGGGCAATAACTCTGAAAAAAAACTGTTCATCCGATTATTGCCAATTTCTAACTTGAACGAGATCTCATACATATCTAGTTTCATCAAGATTGGGTAAAAACTATAAACTATCATCGGATTAACACCATTCAGTCTAAAGTCAATAGTGTTGTGATCCTTCCTCCTGATGCAGAATACCCCGACAGTTTTAGATTCGCAATTTGGTTAAGAGCAGTTTACTTGAGAGTAATCACCATATTGGGGTAATTATAACTTCGTCATATTGATCAACGTCATACTGAACTGCATCATCTACATATAATACCTTGTTAACCGATGGGTCCTTATACACGTGATGAACAAGATCGTTGATGGTGATGCTGATAGCTGATAACAGTTTAGAGGAGTGCCCTTCTCCAGTGATTACTTCTCTTCTAGAATAGACGACGTTCAGTTGTATCTAGCTATCTTCTAGGCAGTCTTAGATTCACCCGACGTTGCGACCCTTTATGCCAGAAAGCAAACCATCAACTCAGACTAAGTCATATGTTTTGGAAAGATCCAATGAAGTACTTCTCTACTACAGCTTTCAATTAGCACATCGTTACAGAACTATTTTCCAAGTTAGCTAAAATAGTGAATGAATTCAAATCTCCATGATCCTCATGATATCTTTTATCTAGACGATATTTGCTTTACTGCAGTTCGGTCCCTCGAAAGCGTTGCTGAAAAGAGCAAAATGGGTCTATTGGGCCCAAACACGTTCAATAATACCATCAATATTAATGAGTCAACATATTTACATCAATACCATTGACAGAAAATGCCCACACACGATTCAATATTTCCAATTATCAAGCCGTCTGCGATTTTTCAAAATGGATGCTGATGTTATTGTTGCCCCGCTCATGGGGTGGTACCTGAGGTCGTTCATACTAAAGACGCGTTCCATAGATATGTACAATGAAAGGGGTATCTATGGCGTGATCGGTTTATCAAATACATGTATAACAATTAAATACATTACTCTGGCGAATCATGAAACAAGACACAATAAGGCATCACCATGAACCATGGTTTTCTGGTATTTACCCCTATAACAGTGATACAGAGTTTTTGCGCTATCATAATCATTACTGACTGGTCGTCTTCCTTCTTGTATCCAGTAACTAAGCAATGGATATTTGACCTGGTGGTCTATGTCACAAGAAAATTTAAAAGCACTTTAAACATCTCAACCTCAAAGTTCAATAACTTGTTAGGGATATATTTCACCAGCAAACGTTTTGGCGACACCAATAAAATACAGAGTCACATCTATCCGCGTTGGTTGGAATCGATTGTTGACAAATAATACCGAAATGACCATAACATTTTCAAACAGATAAACGGTGATAAAAATATTGCTTAAACATTTTTTCTTTAGTTAATTTAACTGAGCTGACATAGATTTGTAGGTGTGGAAACTATTTGTTTTGGAAAATTAAAGAATAAATGTGACACATTATGTGTTAAAAGTGACATTGTCAATATTGATACAGGTGTAATGATACTATATATAAATTAACTCTTAATCTTACAAATTATCCATCAAGTTCCATGACCGATCTGTCAGTCAAATTTTAAAATCAATATTGACTTACTTTGGTCAATTTTACACCTGATCAAGCTAATGCAGTGCCCCATCCGAAAATCAAGCAATAACGGAAATTTTGCCCATGTGACAGAGAATAGGCATCTCTTTTGGATTTTTACGTGCTCAAGAACACGGAGCGTCTTTCTATTGTCCTTTTCGAACTACAGGTAGATGTTTCATGTCAATCCCTCCTACCTTCATTATGACATTAAGATAAGGGGATTAAAAATACAACTACTAATTTCAATCGTAATAGTTGATAAAATAGGTCCAGAATATCTGCAAACTAGAAAAGATAATGCTTTCGACACAGTCTGAATAATGTCATATGGCAATAACATCAGTTTATTTGTCTTTCAGAGCTCACTCTTATGGAAAATTTTTTACATTTAACTTTTTTTGTGTTGTGTTTTTGGTAATAGTAAGACCGATCACTCCGCTGGTGGACTGCTTAAAGCTCATGACATTGTTGTTGGTAGATGTCTTTTAAAGCTTGTGAGACCATAAACTTTGTCGTTGGTTGAGTTCTATTTAAATACATTTTGTGACCTGTGTCGATAGCAAGACAGGGCACTTTTCCTCAAGCCACTTTGCAAACAGGGTTTGTCAAATCGATATCCCTTGGGAGTGTTCCTCATTTATTATTGTCGTTAAAAATGAAAAATTGATACATAAGTTACACCACAATGGATACCTTTTGAGTCTACGGTCATAATCCTGAATATATAGTTTATTTCAATAGGTTGTAGACAAGAAATCTGTTGAGGATTGATATGCTATGGGATGCAAATTTTCATATTTCTGTTGAATAACATTACTTAAAAATTAAACTTGGGTAAGAAAAGTTTATCAAATTGTACTAGAGAGTAATACATTTTGACTACTGATTGGTCTTCAATTATTAGGTTGTTTTAATGTTTAAGTTAAGTATCATTTTTAACACATTCCACATTCTTAAAATAAACACCCAACCTGTTTTTATAACAAATTGAACAGATTATTTATTGATGTTTTAAATATACAACTATATTGATTCATAAACTGAATAATATGGTGTATTAACAGAGAAATCGGTAACTTAAAACATCACATGTAGTTACTTCCAAAATCCAATTATTTCTAGTTATACGAGTAATGTGCATTTTTATAATCGAATTTACAACAAAGCATTATTAATCCTCTTCTGCATTTTATAATTTTCTTTAATGTTTATTACAAACAAAATCAAACTGTGCAATTAATGTTTTTCCTACGCGACATTTCTGAAGCGCAAATTGCGGAGCATCTGAATCTCTGATTTATGTTATGAGATGATTTTGCCCCCCCCCCCCCTTCCCTTATGTTTGAAAAGCAAAGTCACTTCGTTTGGCAGGTCATATTCTCTTTTCGAAACATACCTCTCTACGTTCAGGTCTGCTAACAAGGTTTCCCACTTCACTTAGCTTAATATGATTTATCTTGCATATTTGTTTTAGAAATATAGATCCTGATACTACCGGACATGTGTGTTACTTTAGTACATATTGCTGATGACGGTGTGAGAACCACATAGAAACGTTGAAAATAATAAATATTCTAGAAGTATCTATCCAAAAAATTGTCTTATTTATTTAGTCCAGTAGTTGTGGCAAAAATAATGTACAGAAATGTCTCAGCATAGCAATCTTCATAATGGCCTTATGCTTAAGTCAACATCCACAAATATCTCACTTTACCGTACATAAAAAGTATATACTAACTAGTATTCTTAGTTAGTTCGATGCTATTGTTTTGTTATTTAAGTTAAGTATCATTTTTTACACTTGTAACTTCTATCAAACTCGGTGTTTATATAATAAATCACAGTGATTATATACAGTTTGTATGTTGTTTATTTATTTAATTATTTATTGATATGTTAAATAAACATAACGATTTAGCCTACGAGTTATGTTTTAAAAGTAGAAATATGCTTGAAACGATATTCTAACCTTAAAATAAACACCTTAATGATTTCAGAGTAGTTCAAAGTTAACTAAAGATTTAGTTAGTGAACCAGTAATTCCATTAAACGTATTTTACAAAATAAACATTTATGCTCAAATGAATTTCGATTCAAATACAAAATTCGATTTTTTCGATCATAAAATTGCATTTCCAAATGAAAATATGATTTTATATGAACAATTAGGTTTTTTAAAAAATAAAAAAAATGTGGTTTTTTTATTATGCTATTGTTTGTCCAGTTTTATAATTTTTTACAGATAATGAGTACCTCAGTTTCAAAATTTGATCTTATTTCACAAGGTTATTTGCTCTCTGGTTTTAGACTGTGACTGTTTGTCGCATTCCATCTATAAGACAAAATACGTGATGTAATAAAACGATTTGTTTCAGCAATTGATTTTCTTTTACCAGAGGTCATATTTTTAAATCTTACAATCATAGAATATAACCTCTTTTATACTTGCCTAAATGGTGTGAATTTCAGTCGAACCATCTGAAAGCAGAACCTATGAATATATTTAAAATATAACTCATCAAAAATTTGATCACACACATTACTGAATAGCATTTTGTCAATTCGTATGTATTGAAACACCAGGTTTCAAATTGTATAGACTTAAATAGACCATGGGCTGGAAAAATGCCTCAGACATACCAAATAACATTTCAAAAATTGAGACTTTATCTCAAGCGAATATATGTCATTGTGTATTTGATTTATCTGAATTAATTATTACAAAGAAGCAAAAGTTATAGAATGCCATTTCGTACATTTAATGTACTAGTGCTCGAATGAAATATGTGTGCTATTCTCCGCTAGAATTAAACGATAGGCTAACTAAAATATGTTTTTATTAAATGCTTGGAAAATATCTTGTATTTTTTTCTTGTTCTAGTCTGATATCAATGATGTAAATGTAACGAAATATTTTTGGAATTTGGACCATTCCAATAATATTTAATATGTAACACTCGAATTAATAATAATAATAATGTTTAATGATAATTAAATTTAGACCTATTGAATAGTACATATACATTATATTACTAATGTTATTGTATCATCTTTGTGATATGCAAATATTGCCCCTTACTTTAACCGAAATCCCTAAAAATATATTTCAATATTGTGATACATATCCGAACTATTTCCTATACACGCGAAATATTGACACATTAGTTTGAATATTATTGTAATATTTTTACTTCCGTTTCTAAATCCATTGATCAACAAACATTACTATCCAGTTTTGGGGTACTATAATGATGTATCCGTATAGCATGATTTTGAGAGGGCGGGGCTTATTTTTCTGGGCGGTTGCAAGTAACACCTAATGAGCCAATGATATCAGCAGAAAAAAGAACATAAAAAGAAAAGTAAACAATCTATAAGCAAGGTTGTTGGTTTATTGTGAAAACAATAAGTGATTAGTACATTGACCAATGACTACTGTGTATTCTTTTCATGGAAATTAATCCTCACCCCGGGAAGTATATAGAGGGTAGTATTTTGGTCAATTTCAGCAAACAGCTTTCTGCCTCACCATTCAAACAACTATTTGGAACATAAAGATACATTGGACAGTGAAATTTCAATTTCATAATTTGGTGCAACTAACAGTGATTTTGAAAAAAAGGATTAGAAAGGCAAAATGGTTCTTCAAACTACACCAGTTATGAATAACAGTATGGGATTGAGATCATCATGTATGATGGGAGGACAATATCCATTAAATTACATTCAACATCCTTCATATCAACCATCATCAGCACAGAATCTGATATCACCAACACTCGATGATTCTCAACTTATACCATCTACAAGAAACTTACAGAACAGTCTATCATCACCATCTAGTAACGTGAGTGACTCCGATGCCAGAAGTAGCGACAGTCCGATATCAAACCAAGGTGATTCTTCAAAATCACCAAATTTCTTGGGTTCTGAAGAATCAGAAGAAGATATTGATCAATCTGTTTCCGGAACATCAACTTTATCGCAACGAAATCGAAGATTTGCTGATGTAAAGCCACCATATTCTTACATTGCTTTGATAACCATGGCTATAGAATCTTCGACTAGTGGTATGATGACACTGAATGAGATTTACGCTTTTATCATGAACAGATTTCCATACTTCAAGCAAAACCAACAAAGATGGCAGAACTCGATCCGTCACAATCTTTCTCTAAATGATTGTTTTATGAAAGTACCCAGAGGACCAGGACGTCCAGGAAAAGGAAACTACTGGTCTCTTCATCCTTCTTGTGGAGATATGTTTGGTAATGGTAGTTTTCTCCGAAGAGCTAAAAGATTCAAGTTACCAAAGATGAAACGTGCCGAAAGCGCTGCTTTACAAGCTATGAATGCTTACGCTCCGTTTGGATTTTATGGAAATCCATCTTTAAACCCTTTGTCACTTTCATCATTACCTCAAAGTTTAGCTCAATCACAGCAATATGGATACCAGATGAACTACCCAACGTCTAACCCAGCTTACTCCTCGTATTACCCTGCAACCAGTGTTAACAGTGCTTTACAAAGTTCGACCTTAGGAAACAGTTTAACGAGTGCTATTAGTAGTTCATTCGGATCAAGTTTAGGAAACTCATTAAGTTCGTCTCTTGGAAACAGTTTAGGAGCGTCTTATGGAAATGGAATCGGTAATGGGTTGAGTTCATCTCTGCCAAGTGCCTACTTACAAATGCCTCCAATATCAACTGCACAGAATTCTACAGCTTCCCTGTCGAATTACTCTTCCTTACAACAACCAAGTTATCACCAAACATCTCAATATTCTTCAAGATTTGGAAATACTCAATGTTAATATCAGCGTTTTTGACTCTCACGTCGATGTTCATGTGAGCTATGAAAGTTATATCAACTATCTACGCAATTGACTTTGTTATTTTTTCATATGAATTCCATGTTATTTATTGTTTTGTTAATGTATATATTTTAAAAATTCCAATATTTGTATAAAGTTGTTATCATTTTTGTATATTATATTCATAACATGATATTATGTGTTTAATAAATACACATTGAAATTATACTACTTGGTTTTTCGTTTGGGAGGCTACTGGTAATTGCACCATTGATGTTTTGGTACAGTTTCAGCAGCCTTTTATTGCTTTCAACATATGGTCAGAAACCTAGAGTCTGATTCAATATTTATTTTTAAGATTCGCCACTCTATGCCCATCCCGTATTAACAGCCGTCTTTGTAGTGCACACTTCAACAGAGACTGGATTTGATATTTGCTGTTGGGATTAGGAAAACGATGCATGTTCTTTCCGAGCCCTTTTTTACTAATTAGAGCAAAAGAATTACGGTGATGTGTGTTTTGCACTTCTCAACAAATCTCAACAAAGACATCCTAGTGGGTATCAAAATATAATGATATAACATTTTTAATGTATTTAAATCTAATATACCTTACACTTTGAAATTCCGTTCGAATTTTACCTCAACTTAAAGCTCACATCAAGACGCGAACAATGATTGTAAAGTATGTATGTGTGTTTTGTATTCTGTGCCTGATGAGTCATTGACTCAAAAGAATAAAGAATTGAATTGAGAAAAATAAATTTCCATGTAGAATTTCAATATTTTATGTTCCCAAAAGTGGGATACTCATGAGCATTTAAACTATTCGATGTGAAAACAATGTATACATTTAACTTACAGTTTATTAATATAGAAAATATTTATTTTCCAGATTTTGTCCAATAGATAATTTTTAATGGTATTTTAGGTTAGGTGTCGTATGGGAATTTTAGTGACAGGTATCATCATTTGATTGCTATGATCACAATTTGGTATTTTAAGTGTTTTGAGCAGAGAACGTATTTGAAGATGCAAAGCATTTCTGCATCTCATCTTCTTAATGGAATGTTTCATAAGAAAATATGTGTTCATGGTTATTGACTAGATATTAAGCTATATTATTGGGTGGGTTTATTTTAAACAACAACGTTATTGTTTTGTGCTTGATACAGATTCCTGAATGTGAATTTAAATGTTGCAAAAATTATAGAAAGGATTTGTATATGTAAATCGACTGCTAAATATCATTGACAGATGATTATGTAACAATATCATTTATATTTTCGATTAATAGATCAAGTGTGATAAAGCAAACCGTGCCTGGCAAGTTTCTATTGATAATAGACCACAGCATGTGGTAGATTGTGCACTTTCCCCCTCGATAGAAAAGGTACTCAATCTCACACATTTTATCAGTAAAAGTAGTTAGTAAGTGGCTTAAAATCTACATCTTAGATATTGTCTAAGTCGATTTATAGATCTTAAGGGTTTTCAATACGTTTGATATTTTGGTATGGACATCTTTGATTATATACTTAGAATGATTGTTGAAAATAAGAAAACAGTTTTATAAAGGAATCCATCTTTAAGAAAAAAAAAGTAGGAAACGGTAAAAAACAAAGCAAAAAAAAGCTCAAATTTCAGTAAATTATTATCAAAAAATACATATATGAATTTTTTTTAATAAAATGTATGAAATACTTCAGACGTTGGTGGCGACTTTAAGACTGATCTTTTTCAAATTTAAGTTGATCTTTCTCGAATTGCTCTGATCTTTCATACCTAACAATAAATAGAAGTACATGAACTATTTGTCATACTAGACAAGTAGGCTCCATCTTAAGTCTTAGTTCTTCTTTAACACCATTAGTATTACATTATGATTAGTAGAGTTAAGATAATATTAATTTCGAACGTACATGTTAATTTAGTCGTACCTAATTAAAAGTGGCTAAATCCTATGCTCGACCACCAAATTTTATGAGCGGTAACTTTGATGTGAGATAATCGAATTAGATAATCTTTAATCTCTTTTATCTTTTACCAAGATGAGTGTATTGTATAAGACTTACGTTTTACATCGTGTAAATGCAATATGGTAAATGTTGAGCCTTTATTCAAACATCTTAGTTAATAAAGGCACATTATGTTAATTCTTTCTTGTACTATGAATATTATTACGTGAGATATTTATTTAATAGATTTCTTATCTTGTTTCTCATAATTAATTTTAATTGTACCTTCTTTCATAATTCCTTATACAAATTACCTGCTTGTTTTCAGAAGCAGTAAATTAAGAAAATTGTTCTGTTTCAAGTTGGTCTTCTTCAATTTGTATGTGTTTTTATTTTCGCATTTCTAGGGTTTATTTACATTAAGTTTATATTCGTAATCTCTTTGTAATTTCTTATCATGCCGTTTGGAGAAGGGCAGCTACTGAATTAATATTACTTTTCAACCAGTACCATCGATTTGGCGATGATATTGGAGCAGAGTGGAATGTTTATCATATATTTTCTACTGAACTTCTTTATAAAAAAAATACCTTGTCTTGTCGATGTTCTTTGAGAAATAGATCGGAAAACGACTTTAAACAAATGTTATATTGGTTTCTTAAAGATTAGATTGGATTGTTTCTACTTTGTTTCTTGCAATTTATTGATAGTTTTAATCACGTAAACGACATTGTGGGTATATATTATGCTGTTAAAAATTATGATTTCAGTTATAGTCGGCTACTAATACTACAGTTCTTAATAACGTTTAATAATGATGACAGTATATTATGAATATTAGAATTTCATTTCGTTTAACATAAAACATTTTCGACATTTTCCACGCTTTTTTTTTTATTAACTGTTAAATATATTTGTATTATTCCTCTTGATTACGCCATTTTTTTAACAAAAAAAATAACCGAATAAGTATCGGTTATTTTCTGTTTATCATAAACTATTTTAATGTTTTTGATATCTGTTTCGATATATATATGTTTATATTTTCTACTAATCGAGGAATTACTTTAATATTTTTGTTTATCATAAAACTATTTTTCATCTTAATTCTGTTTATCATAAAACTATTCTAAATATTCTGTTTATTTTAAAACTATATTAATATTCTGTTTATCATAAAACTATTCTGAATATTCTGTTTATTTTAAAACTATATTAATATTCTGTTTATCATAAAACTATTCTAAATATTCTGTTTATTTTAAAACTATATTAATATTCTGTTTATCATAAAACTATTCTAAATATTCTGTTTATTTGAAAACTTTATTAATATTCTGTTTATCATAAAACTATTCTAAATATTCTGTTTATTTTAAAACTATATTAATATTCTGTTTATCATAAAACTATTCTAAATATTCTGTTTATGTTAAAACTATATTAATATTCTGTTTATCATAAAACTATTCTAAATATTCTGTTTATTTTAAAACTATATTAATATTCTGTTTATCATAAAACTATTCTAAATATTCTGTTTATTTTAAAACTATATTAATATTCTGTTTATCATAAGACTATTCTAGATATTCTGTTTATTTTAAAACTATATTAATATTCTGTTTATCATAAGACTATTCTAAATATTCTGTTTATCATAAAACTATTCTAAATATTCTGTTTATTTTAAAACTATATTAATATTCTGTTTATCATAAAACTATTCTAATGTTTATATTTTACATTGTTCTGTTTATTTATTCTAAGTACTATTCTATTTTTATTTTCATCATAAAACTATTTTAAATATGGCTCTAATATTTTTTTATTTTTTAGATTTACTATTTTGATATTTTCGAATTTATGTATAAATTCAAATATTGTTGGTATATTCTGTGTTTTTATTTTTCGTTTTGCCATGCTATTATTTCAATAGTTCAGTTATTACTACAAATTCTATTTCAATATTTAGGTGTAATTTTAACTTTACATTTTTAGTGTCAGGTTGAGAAAATAAGAACCAAAATAAACTTTCATCACCTGTGATATTAGCAACATTCAACATTATAAGAATTTCAATCTTTGTCAAATTAAAGAATTCATACCTTGGTTTATCACAAAATAAACACCAATTCTCGTCAAATGTGCCGAAATTAATTTTATTATTTGTAGGAAATTGAACTGATATCTATATAGTTATATTCTAGTTTAATCAAACTGCCATGGATTGGCACATTATTGTTGAAAATACATACCGTATTTAATCTAACACCTTCAATTTCCTCAATAAGTTTATAGAGAAATATTAGATTTCAGAAGATTAGAACACAGAGTTTAATTTAGATCGATAAATTTGTCTCAGTTTCAGTTAATCAAGTTAAATTTTGATTCACATTTCATAAAAATTCGGT